GGAAGCAATCACTTTACCTGTGATCAAACCAAAAATTTGGATCCATTATGTGAATGATAATTTTGTTATGAATAAGGAAGATAATTTAGTATACACTTAGTTTAACTAACAACGTTTGCAACTAGATCAAGTTCACAATGGAGGAGTAGTCGTACAAATAACTGTCATTCTCAGATGTCTTGGCCAGTAGAACGATTACTTGGAAACTGGAAACTCAAGTGTATGATAAGTCAACGCATATTGATCAAATCCTCAAATACAGTAGTAACAACCCTACAACACAATAAATTAGTTGCATGCAGACTCTATTCAAAAGAGCGAGAACACACAACAGCACAACAACTTCAAGGAGAAACGAAGAAAATTACTTGATGTCTACCTTAAAGAAGAATGACTACCCATGAAACTTCATCAGAAGATGCCTGTCCCGTTCATCACCAACTACAAAATCATCCACAGAAATCAACAAACGGATCATTCTATCATACATAAAGAGTATATTATACATCAATACAAGGTTATTGAGATCACTTGCAACTGGTGTGACTCATAAACTAACTAATTCCTTTCAAACCATATTATGCCCACCAAAGGGTACAATAGCCAAAGAAGACAAACTGGATATCATTTACAAGATCAACTGCAATAATTGTGGTCAAAACTATTTTGGATACAGTGGTCGCTATCGTCGCCTTAAAATGACATTGTAGAAATCTTGGGCAGAGGAAAAACCAAGAATATCAAAGGATGAATGATTGATAGTGGTTAACAGTGGAATCAAGGAAGCGCATTCCGTTCTATTTGGCACTCGTCAGCTGATTGTACCTACACCCAGTGAGTTTTGTTGTCCGTACCCGGACTTAGGACCGATCGGTCCAAATGCCAAAGCATTATCCACTAGACTACCGAGCCGCGACAACCACTTCTTGTGCTACGGTTATAGTTTGAGTGTCGCTGCTTGTATTATCCTATTGTTGATTGGACCTAATTGATTGGTTTCTATTGACATATAGGCTCCTGCGCGGATACATCGATGTTGCCCGTGTTTTAGAATTATAATAGTTGCACAGGAACCGGGCTTCGTAGTTCGATAGGGCAGTGGATAACGCTCTGGATTTCGAAGCGAACGGTCCCGCGTCCAAGTTTCCGTGCAAACAACCACACTTATTGTGGTGCAGATACATCCAGCTGACGAGTCCCAAATAGGACGAAATGCGCATCCTGGGTTCCACCGTTAGCCACTATCTATCATTAATATATAATTAAAACACAAGAAATCTCGAGGCATCCGCGCAGGAGCCCATATGCCATTAGAGACTGACCAATTCGGTCCAATCAACGACGGGCGAATACAAGCAATAACACTAATATCAGAAAATTCCTGGAAGCTTGGCATTCAGGTTAGCCAGCAATCAGTGAATGTGTAGACATGGACCCAATCTATCAACCAATAAGAAAAGTGAAAAACAACAAAAGGTTCAGAGGTTAGGAAGAGAAACAGTCAACAGTAAAATCCATTTAGTCAACGACAGTAATCACATGAAACAACTAACCACAAATCAGTCCGTCATCAAGAAGTTAGTGCTGATCATTTTGTCTGGAAATACAACGAAAGCTTCATGGTTAAACCTCCCAGCCCAGGGAACACAACAGAACCAAGATCTGAGACTCAATTAAGCCCAATGCAGTGGATGTGCACTGAGAAGCTATTACACTTGATGATGAGAGGGAGCTATCAACCATTACTTAAATCTCTTTCGCATCTTGAACGATGTCACTTCATAATAATAACTATCAACTTAATGATCGATATTTCACGAACTGCTAAATCGCACCTATCAAATTCTCCGCGTAACATAGCTCATTCGGGAGTTGAACTACATTGTGGTAAAGTGTTTGAAGTCACCACCTACATAAACACATTTGAATCTTCAATGTGACCCAAGTCTGATTGAGTTACATCTTAAGTATGAGTTGAGGTAAATAGGAAAACTTTTGGCGAATGAGCTTCCTACAGAACAGAACCTAATGACAAGACTGCATCTTGTATGGTTTTGATCATCAACTGAAAATGTGACACTCTGTTATGACATTAAGCAGAACCTCCACAGTCAGATGGCTAAGACACTCTGTCAGTCATATAAAAAATGTGAATGCGCTCTGGTGCTGAGTGGTCGAAGTTATTCAGCAGGAAATCCCTATATACATCTTTTTCATCCCTGTTAGTACTCATCGCTCAGCGCATCTACGACCATTAAGAAGTTGGTTTTCCTACAACTGATAAAATTGAAGTATAACCACGCACTTGCATGCATCGACACAAGTTGCTATCGAAAAAGAGTGATATCAAAGTAGACAAAGTTGTATGAGAGAAGAAATAAAAATTAGGAGAAGGGTTGATGTGAACACTGAAGCTTTAGAAGATGTCAATGAGTGAATACATCTGCTCCATTGTGACTGATTTTCAACCATGTCACCAAGAGTCATCAATCACTGGTTCCTTTCGTTTCGATGACCCCATACAGTCAGTCTACACATTTCCATATCAGTTAAACCAACAGTTAGCAGTTGAGCTCATTGTAGAAGTTCAGCTAAACAAGCTAAAATATTCAAATCAATTGAATCTGACTCCATGACTTGAATAGATCGGTATATCTACCATAGAGTGATCGGTTTGCAACCTATCTACAAATTGCGCAAGCAATCCTGTCAATTCCAATAGTTGATTAGTCTGTTGACTGATAAATTGTGGTATCAACTGAATAGGCGTCTTCTAAGCACTTATTATTCAGCAGTACATTTCAATAATTCATAGACGTTTTGCATCCGAAATCACATTTTTGAAATTGGCAGATTGGTTGTTTCTAAGGGAAACCCTCTTCACATCACGGCCATGTAATTTAAGCACAAAGAATCTGTGATAAATATAAATGTAAATCAGGAGACTTGTAAATAGATTACAAACGGATGGCTCTTACTCCTGAAAGCATCATGAGAGTGCAACACTAACTGACTGACTGACTGACTGAAGAAATCACCGTAGAACCTTGCACACATGTGAATTTGCTCAATTTGTCACTATTCACATTAGTACACAAAGAATAGGTGGGTAGAAAGAGAGTGACATTGAAGTAGATAAATTCGTGTGAAACAATAAATAATCTGAAGATAAAGGTTAATGCAAATATCCCAGCTTCAGACGATATCATGGGGTGAAAACATCTATGTCATTTGTAACCGATATTCAGTCACCAAGAATTCTCAACCACTGATTTCTTTTCGTTTTGATTACCCCCAACCAGTCAGTCTACATTCCTCCACACCACTCAGATCAGCAGTTAAGGACTCCATCGACTAATATCACATCTCGATCTGATCACCCTCAACCGTCTTCTAACGTGGGCCAACCTTCTCTAGCACAGTACATCGAAGTAGGCAGTGGCATGGTATGAGCAGTTCATGTCCAAGTTATCTCACTCGATGAAGGTTCACAGCTGCATCAATCGACTTGCCCATCTTGCCTAGTACCCTTCATCTGACCTCAACATTGCTCTCACAGTGACTCAGCCATTCGTGAGCAATGCCTAAATGACACTAGTGGTCAAACCCTGTAAGTGCTTCATGTCTCCTCCTTTCAACGGTCATGTCTCATGGTCCTACAGTAGGACAGAAATGCCTCTTGCACAGTATGCTTGTATTTTAATAGCTAATCGGATAGCTCGCCAGCTGCTGCCACCGATGACGCAAGTTGGCGAATGATAAACGGTCCTTCTACATCTGAGTTGAGATTTCGTCAGCAACCACCCAGTTTTGGAGTGAGGTGTCAACACAAAGCTTTTCAGGCAACATCTAACCTCTTTTAAGACTGGAATATGCAGATAAGTAGGTTACCAGTGCGTCACGGCCTAAGCTATGAAGTTCTGAGAAGTGCTTCATCTTAACCAAATTTTATCGATGAAGATTGCCGGCGGTTAATTAGGAGTTTATAACCATCCAGTGTTAATAGTTCTACTACATAAATCATAAAATAGTAATACTCTATCGTGAAATACCTACATAATGACAGGTAATCTGTATTGTCTTTATTCGGTACAGAATATCAACACAGAGTCTTTTCAAAACTGTTCTTCCGAAATTTACAAGGAGTTGTATTAAGTACGAGGCAGGAAGTGAAAGACCTTTTGGTAAATTCCATGATCTCACACTGAGCAGGAAGTGCTCTTCCCATTAGTTGATATCCTTCTCGTTGTATCCTTTTCTAATAATAACCACGACCAAGTAGGTAGTATACATCTAAGTGATTACCTTTGTATATGACCAATCTGCCTTACTGAAATCAATACCTAGCGCCCTTACATGATTTTCCTCTGCATTCTCTAGACAAATTGTAGGTAAGTAGGCTCCTTCAGCAGATGCCTCACTATTGCCTCAAGGTTTGTTTCTGTGCAAATTACTTTACAGTAGCTAGGAGTGGAATCCAAATCCGGTCCAATTTTAGTTCAGTATGATAATCGACTGGAAACTTTAAGCATCAACAAATAATAAATTGTGCTCATTGCAATACTCGTGACTCAGTAGCTTAGAGGGGGACGCTTTGGTATTTAAGGCATTAGGTGGTGGATTTGAGTCTCACTGAGATGCAGGTTCATTCAGCTGACTAGTAGCAAAAATCAGGAACTATGCGTCCTGAATTCCAATAACAGCCATCAACAGGCAAATAACACCAAGGTATAAATACGTGTATGTTATTCAAGATACATTCACTACGATTTCTTTTGTCTAATTACTCTGTTAAGATACTGAAACAAATCTCGTTTTACAATCTGAAAAAGTCACATTATTAACTTCTTTCCAGACTGAACTGTCAAGCCTAAGGCTTATGGTTATAACTGCAATAAATGTCAAGAATGGTATGCTCCATCTCACATTCTTTCCACACTATCTGTACATTTTCAAGTATCTGACGGTTGATTTTCATTTGGCATATTTTCTATTCATAGGTTGAAAATCTTGCTATACCTTTAGTTCAGTGGGAAAATCCTCATTTCAATTCATTATATCCTGACAGGCCAGCAAGTGTTTTAAATGCAGCTGATGGGTTCACTTATATCTCTGCATTTACCTTGGAATATCTACGAATATTCCGTGCTTACATGCCTGATTGGAATGGTAATTTCAATTGGACAGGTGCACTTGTCACAGACAAAAGTCCAACATTTATAGCAGGTAACCTATCAAGATATCGATTTTCTTATCATTTTGTTGATTAATTTCAGTAATCTTTTTTTTAACAACTGAGAGTGATAACAATAAAAGTGATCACTAGGAACAAGACTTCAGATTTGCTCGATAAATTCAATGTACTACTGATGAGTAACACAAGGTTTTATGCAGAATAATAAATAAAACTTATTACTCCATAGAACTATCACATTTAGAGTATTCTTTGTTTGGTAAATGTAAAACTAACCAATAGTATTCGCTGATCACGTGTAGTCTGATTATCTGTTGTACAAATAATCACCCAAACCACTGAATAACTAAAATGAGACAACAATCAAAGTTGATAGCAGGTGATATTTTTGACTCAATGCAGTATGAGAACACAATTCTCAAAATAAATTGGCATCATTTTTCTTCATAGGATTTCATTAGCTGCATAAAACCTAAATGAATTAGTTAACAAAGACTATAATGAATATATCATACTTTATATGCAGAGTTTTATGATACCACTTAATGTTTTTGAAGATGTGAAACAACAGTTGCAATCCCGGATAGTTTAGTTAGTGACTTCAGTCGAATCACGTACATGCTATTCAAGACAAGATGAGGAATGCAGACGAGTGAAGAGTATTAAGTGAAAAACAAGTGAACGTGACGGCTTGGTTGCATTGTGACCTCTGAGATCGGTTGTTTCATCATAAGGATTTCATCGTCTTCCTCCTACACAACATCATCAGCACTAAATTCAGTATGAAGTAGTGACCTGTCAATATCTCTCCATCTGTGATTTACTGGCTTGCTGTGACCATGTGCTCTGTGATTGGTTGTTCACTCCGATTGTTGTGTCATTGACAGACTGTATAGACTTTCCTGTTGGTTGTTCCTCTACTTGACCTGATCTCTGTCTGACCTTTCTGTCGTCTACCATCTTTCTTATTGGTTGATAGATTTGGCCTATGTGTATACATCTGTTGATTGCTGACTGACTGACTGACGTGGATGGCGAGCTTCTAGGAATTCTCTGACATTCCCTGTGTTTCCCCTCTCCATCTTAAATTTCTACATTCTGCAAATTCAATTCATGTGCATAGTTGTTATTCACGTGGATTGAAATGAGTGATGAAATGTCGTGGTGTTTAATAGATAATTGGTGTTCATGTAGATGAAGGCGAATAAGGTGGCCGCTCTGTCCAATGTAGTGTTGACTACAGTTATTGCAGTTGATTTTGTAAATGATATTCGGTTTATGTTCTTTGGTTGTTGCATCCTTTGGTGTGCATAATAGTGTTTGGAGGGAATTTGTTAGTTTATGAGCCACACCAATTCCAAGTGGTCTCAGCAATCTGGTCGTGATTTCTCACACATATTCTTCATGCATTATGGTAGGGTGACTTGTTTATTGATTTGTGTCGATGACTTTGTAGTTGATAATGTACGGGATAGGCATCTTGTGATAAATTTTCGTGGGTAGCTGTTCTTCTTTAGGGTGGAGATCAAGTAATTTTCTTCGTTTCTCCTTGAAGTTGTTGTGCAGCAGTGTGTTCACACTCTTCTGGATAGAGTGTGCAAGCAACTGATTTTGTGTGTTGTAGGGTTGTTGCTGTTGTAGTTGAGGATTTGGTCTGTGTGTGTGTGTTGGCTTTCTGTACACTTGGGTTTGCAGATTTCCGGTATTCCCTCCACTGACTAGAACACCTAGGAATGGTAGTTGGTTGTTTGACTCTTTCTGTATTGTGAATTTGATGTTATTGAAAACGTTGTTGATCAAACTGTGAGTGTTTTCTATATCATCCTTTTTAATGATGACAAAAGTGTCGTCTACATAGCGAATCCAGACTTTTGGTTTGATCATAGACAGAATAATGGCTTCCAGTTTCTGCATCTCTGCTTCTGCAATTTATCCGGATATCAGTTATCCCATTGGAGTTCCATTCACCTGTTTGTATATCTTGCCGTAGAATTGAAAGCATGTTGTCACACAAAGATCAATGAGTTCCATCAGACTTGAACATTTGAGTTTTGTGCGTTCTGGAAGGTTTTTGTCTTCATTGAGCAGAAGGGATATCGTTTCCTTGACCAGTTGAGGCTCGATGGATGCATATAGTGATGTGACATCGAAGGATATCATTAATTCGTCGTTTTCCATGTCAATGTTTCTAATCTTTTCTAAGAATTCTGTTGGTGACTTGATGGAATGTCCACATGACTGGACGAGGTGTATCGGTTTTCTCGAAAGTTCTCTTGATATGTTGTATGTTGGAGTTCCTGGAAGTGAGACTTTTGGTCGTGGAGGATTATCGGGTTTGTATAGTTTTGGTCTGCTGTAGAATCGAGGAAGGACAAGTCTATTCGATTTCATACACCATTTGTCTTGCTTTTTTATTTCTTCTGCTTTGAAGAGTTTGTTCAAGGTTTTATTGATCTGGTTATCGAACTTTTGGATAGGATTGGTTTTAAGTGGTTGATACACACCTTTGTTTTCGAGTAATTCCTCTTCCTTCTTGATATAGTCTTCTTTGTCCATGGCTGCTGCAGTGCATCCTTTGTCTGCTGGAAGTATAACGACATCTTTCCTATTTTTCAGTCTGTTTAACGTTTTCTGTTCTTGAGTGTTCATTTGAGCATGATGTCTCTTCTGTCCGGTTAGTGATACGACTACGCAATCATACAGAAATATTATCTCAACAAAATTATAAGCGGGTGAGATAACAAATTTCCGTAATAACAACAAATATAATAAAAATGAAACTGTAGTCCAATGAATACAGATGAGAGCAAGCATAAAATAAAGCTGGCCAACAATGGAATAATGATTCGCTGAGATTCATACATAAATGATCACTTTATTTTATAATTTTATAGTCAAATATTAGTCATATACTGCTTATGTCATGTTTGAAGACAGCTTATTTCATGAATTAAAATGAGTTACAGAGGCAGTAGAAATTTAGGAACACTGAACAACCATTTCTTCCCGGTCTAAAAAGCTTACGAAGCACGAATCTACAACTTCTTGAAGTATCAAAAGGACAGCTGTGATGAGCACGCTACCATTCAACCATTGTATAGAAATCTACTGATCTACTTTTTTCCACTTTTTTCAACTTGCCTTAGTGAGTTACTATTATTCACCTCACTTCCAACTTGTTTGACTTCAGAAGTCATAAATTTTTATTGGTAATTTGAGAAATTCATATGAGATCAAGCTACTTATAACCACTGAAATATAATTAGATTAGAAATCTGTGTAGATTTATTGATTTTAAGGTATTTGTCATCACTTAAGTAAGCGACGCTGATGAGCCTCAAGCAAAGAAAAAAAGGCCGTCAGGCACCTTCATGTTGTAATTCGCAAACCAATGTCTATCTGAAATGAAAACAATCTTGAGATCTGTTAGTCCCCATCAGGCCCCAATGGACTTATGTCATACTCGTCAATCCCCTGTTTTTATTTGTCGAATAATACAGACTGCAAGGAATTTATTTTCTCTTTATATATTGGAGGTCGAGAATTCTTCATCTAGACTTTGAGTATATACCCTTAATCTGTTCACGACATGTCAAATCTAGAGTTTTACATGGTACCAAAGACAAATCTCCCATTTTTCAATGTTAAATATATACTCATTATTTTCGAAATCACTCAGTTAGGTTTGACCAAATATACAGTTTCCCCATTGGATATAATTCCATCATGGTAGCACCCCGGACTAGACGAAATGAAACTGGTTGCCCTCCAGTAACTAATCATCAAGGTATCTAATCCACCCGACTGAAGGTAAATCGTAGCCTAAATATCTCAATGTTAATGGCCCTGACTACACAACTGAGTGACGTAAGTTCGAATCTCAAGGGGGATATCAGTTTCCTTAAGATTGCAGGCACGCCTTTCTGATGAGCGCCAACCTAGGTCAAGAACAGTGTCATGTGGATTGTCTCCAAACAACCAACTTCTTTATGCCCTCTAGCATATATATATATATATATATATATATATATATATATATATATATATATATATATATATATACATCTGAAAACTGAACTGATTTCGTGACATGTCGTGCTTAATAGTGATTAGTTCAAACCTTCAACAGAAGTCTTTTTTTCTAGTTCTTATGCTTCTTCCATTCTCTACAGCATGTTAAAAAAGCTTTATCTCATCCTCAGTTACAGCTTCTTTTATTCCTTCAAGGTTAGTATACTCGAAGATGCACACATCCAATATAAACTAGACAATAAACAGAAGTGTCATTTCTTTAACTAAAATTATCAATCAAAAAATCTTCAAGTTTTTATTCAACGTAGACTGACATCAGTTGGAGGAACAAAGAAAACCTGGGGGCACTGGACAGCTGTTTCGTCCTAGTATGGGACCTCTCAGCAGTGCACACCCATGACTCCGCTCTCCAGGGATCAAACTTACGACCTACAGGTTCCGTGACCAGCACGTTAACATTGAGCCGAAACAGCTGTCCAGTGCTCCCCGGTTTCCTTTGTTCCTCCAAATGACGTCAGTCTACGATGAATAACAACTTGAAATATTTCCAAATCTCCACAACTCCTTCAAAATTCAATCCAACTGGTGCTCATTGATGACCAGCTTCGAGAGGTATTTCCGAAGTTCCAATGAGAAGTCGTGACCGGTAGAGTTAAAGCCTGATGGTCGTGAAGACAGTTACTCAACGATGACATTGGGTGGCGGTTGCGCTATATCGTAAGCTAACAGAAGTTGGAAATATGGACGATTGGATTCTGACCAAGTGGCTCAATGGTAACGTACAAGACATGGAACCTTAAGGTCGTGGGTTAGATTCCTGGAGATCGGGGTCATGAGTGCACACTTCTGAGTAGTCCCATACTAGGAAGAGACAGCTGTCCATTACTCCCAGGTTTCCTTTATTCCTCCAACTGATGTTAGTCTACGATGAATAAAAACTTGAAATATTTCCAGATCCTCACAACTCCCTCAAAATTCAATCAGAAAAATGTTATCTTCTTCAGATGAAAATCAGGAAGTTAAAAATGTGTCGCATATTAAAACAAGTAACAAAACGAAAATGTGAGGATTTAAGTTCACTTTTGTTCTTATATTTACGTATGTCATACAGTGAAAGAGTATTAATTAGTGAATGACGTTTCGAGTACAATTTATCGCGCGTAAACAAATCAAGTTAATCACATAACATTCTGGTCTAGTGTTTTATAATCCTACTGTTTTTTTAAGTTTTACATTTTGTTGGTGGTGAAAATTTCTGATAGCCCCGGTATCAATGTTGTGTCATTCTTACAATATGTATTAGGTGTCGGTTTGATAGATAGGACTTAAGTCATCAATCTGTCTGTTTTTACCTCCCATATAAGTTGTGTTTTTAAACTTCCAGAATACTACGTGATTTTATGTGACAGCATACAAATTTATGACTTAAGTCTACTGGATTTATTATCTCCTTATGGTCCATCACTCCACATTCATTTTTGTGTATTCGGCTCAGTTAAATGATCCATTTTATTACTTCGGTGGTTCTCGTCAGCCGCCTATAACTTGGAATATTTACAGTGACAAATTACAATTAAGTATTAACATGCTTTGGTCAAATGACTTCAGTCAAAACAAGACAATGAAACAAAGAAGCAAAGAAACTGTCCGAAATGAAATACAGTTGAAACCTCATGTAGTGATGTCATCAAAACATGTCTTATCGGAACCAAAGTTCTCGAAAAAGCAGATGGCGGCAGAAAAATTAGAACAAAACAAGAAATTAATTGTTTTTTATGACCAGTTCAACAGAATCCTTCAGTTGACAACTTTGTATCTAGTTGTGTTTGTGAGTTTAGATAGCACACTGATTCCAGCATTCTAATGAATTCTACTCAGGGCTTTAACCATTAATTATGAGACCGAACGAAATCAGACAGAGACAAATGTTTCCTGTTGGCAGGATACATGTAAACAAGAAGCCGATATCCAGAGAAATCATCCGCTTCTATAAGACTTGACATTTATAATTTAAACAGCAAAGTGAAATGTATCCCAGATTATATTATTATTATTTGTCCATTGGGTTCCTAATGGAAAATACGGCTTCACTAGCACCTCTCCATCTCATTCTCTTCTCTGCATTATTTTCAACCTGGTTCCACCACTGCCCACAACCTCTCATTTCCTCCTCACACAATCTCCTCCATGTCACCCTCACCTCGGACACCCAACTAGTCGCCTCCCATCTGGGTTCCACTCGACACCCTGACCTGACGCGTGATATCCCCAGTTGGCCTTCTCACTGTATGTCCAATCCCATTCATCTACACTTACTTCCACCGCATATTTCTTCACCGGTAGCTTCATGGTTAGTTCTTTGACAGCCGTAATTCCTCGTTGCATTTTCTTATTATTCTGACCATCTGATCCTCAGTAAGGAGCCAGAGTAGGAGGCAGTTGTTGATGAATGTCTGTGGTTTGTTGGAAATCCCTTTCGTAACGCACCAAGTCTCCCAACTACCACTTTCAAGCACTGACTTGACTGGCGTTGGTGTTGAAAATCCGGATCCTGTTCACGCTTTATGTTGAGTGCACTGCAATAGATCTCCATATGTGATAACTTGGCAAGTGTTTTTTCTGCATGAATGATTCTGTATTGTCCGAGTTGTAGAATAAAGATGATATCCATAAGTAGTGTATTATGTGTGAACAGTGTATGAATAATAAATTGATATTTGTATGTATGTAGACAGACATATGTTGATAGCTCTTATCTCAGGGTATCCTGGTTATGTCAGTACGTGGGGGTGGGTTGTGACCAGGTGAAACTACATTTTATTCCCTCAGTCAACAATTGAACATTGGACATGGTAGAACTTCTTAAAAGTGCACTTGGAAGCTAAAAAGATTTCAGAATAACGGCTTGTATAACGAAAAAACTAAAAGACTTCAGGAAAAATATATTTCACAGAGCGATTTGAAAACTTCACAGAAGTTGAACAATTTCCATTGAAACGGGGATCGTCATCCAAGCCACATTGGATTAAGTATAATCAGCTGTAAACCATTCTTATATGATATAATAAAAATTGCGCAAGACTCAAATGTACTCTGTCATTCCACTTTTTAATCATTATTCTATGAAACTTTCTCATGTTATCAAGTGCAGTTGAAAACATTGGTCCAGAGACAGTTTTAATGTAACTTTTTCATAGAAATGATCATATCTTACATATTATAGTTAAGTGTATAGTTTCACTGTTGGCAACATTTTAACAGTTAAGTAATTATCCTTCAATGAATAATTGTTGTGTAAATAGTTATAGAGAAAGAACAATGATCACCTTTGAGAGTTATAAAACAAGATGATGATGACAAACCATTGAAAACGTAAAAATAGTGTCATTACGTTGAAACTAAGTAAAACTTTGAACAAGATGTAAGTGATATGAGTATCTGTTTTTCTTCAATAAACCGGTAATTACAACCATTCTTACGATAGTCATATTCACACCCAGTCTCGATTTACTGTTCACTGATTCTATTGAAAGCTAATTCACACAGCAACTAAATAATGATTTTTAGGGATTGCTTGACGAAGTGAGACTGATAAGAATGCTGTTCTGGATAAGTTCAATAATGTTCACCCGGCAATCAACTTCACAATGGAAGAGGAGAAATATGATAGTATCCCATTTCTTGATGTTCTGTTGGTAAGAAGGTCAGATGGAACTCTGAAGCCAAGTGTTTGTTTATAGAAAGTCAGCATCAGCAGGTCAATATACGCACTTCTTTAGTGCTATACCCCTCCAATACAAAAGGAACCTAGTGAAATGCTTAGCATACCGTGCCTCAGCTATTTGCTCAGAGAATGCTATAAAGGAAGAGTGTGCCACCATCCGTGATCTGCTTAGTAGGAATGGCTACCAAGACAAGTTTGTAACTAAGCACATGAATATTACGAGGGTTAAGACAACAATGCCAACAGTTCCTAAGAAGCAAATCTTCTTGAAGCTGCAATTTAAGGGTGATATTGCCAGTGAGATCATCACACAACGCACAAAAGAAGTCTTGAATGAAGCATTCCAAGCCGCTAAATTATTTCCCGCCTTCTACAACCGCCCGACTCTAGGTGCAAGAAATAAAGACAAACTGCCTGACTGTGCCACTTCTATGTGCATTTATCAATTCAACTGCTCCTGTGAAGCTAGTTATATTGGGCATACAATGAGGCAGTTCCATCGTCGAATTTCTGATCACCATCCATCATGGTTGAACAAGGGACAAATTAGAACTATAAAGAGCTCCATACTTGCACACTTAGTTGATACACGACATCAAGTGGTTACTGGAAAAGTCTTCAAAATCATCCATCAGATTCCAATTAATTTACCTCATGGATTACGCATTCGCGCTTCCTTCACTTAGCAGAGGCGATCGCAATCCACCTTCACAAACCTATCCTTTGTATCCAAAAGAAGTTTGTTCGACCACTTTCATTACCGTGGCTGTCAACATGATGTAACTTCTAAGTTTACTTTGTACACCTGGTCCCCTTCCCCTTGTTTCTATCAATATCCATATTTCCAATTTAAGTAACTCTATTGATTATTTACATCATTATTTCCGAAACACCACCACTTGATTGGTAATTTGATTAAATTATAAACCTATATTAGTGTAAAGCCCAAGATGAAGACCTAATTGAAAAGGAATATATTTCTCCCCTCAGTCAGTCTTTTTCTAAATTAATGTTTATCACCTAAAAGTTGAAAGAGATAAATATAATACTAACTGTAGTTTCCAAGTATTTCTGAACGCAAATTATTCAGGAAGTGTCATAAGTTACTTTTTCTAATGTCAGTAAATTTAATATTTATTAAAGTTTTTCATAGATAGACATAAGAAATCAACGTAGAACCTTGCTTAAAATTGCATCGGTTCAAGTTACTACACATTACAACACCATGCAAAGAATAACTGAATAGAGAAGGATTGATATTAACGTAGACAAAAGTGTACAGGAAGACAATGAATTTGACAATCAAGGTTAGTAGAATTTTTCAAGCTTTAGAATGTATCAGGAAGTGGATATATCGGCACAATGTCACGAAGAATCTCCAACCACTGATTCCTATAGTCTTAGTGACCACAGCGAAGTAACCTCTACACGGCTTAAGCGAACACTCGGAAGCTTTGTGGACTGATGCAGCGTCTTGATATGGCCAACCTGAGTCTTTTGTCAACCCAATCCAACTTATGCAGCCGTTGTAAATTGGGGTAAACGGTGGTTTGGCATGAGCAATACATTTCCAAGCCACCTTAGATTTATAACCTCATCGATGAAATTACCTTCTCTGCTTAGTACACGTCGCCTAACCTCGATCTTACTTACATGATAATTCCACTATACGTGAGTAATGCTACAAAGACATCTGTGTTTGATAACCTGTCACTTTTCAAATCTTCAACTTTTGAAGGCCTTATCTGCGTGATTTAAACAAGGACTGTATATAGTGGAATATATTTCATTCTGCTTTCCATTCTTGGTGTAGGATCTTTCGCAAACTAACCCTCAAGTTTCAGATCAAAAATTAGCTGGCAGACTTTGTTGTTGCATAACTCGAATACTACGCCTATGTTCCCTTCAAGTATTTGTCCTCACCCGTTTAGCTACAGCCTAAAGTTAGGCGGTTAATACCTCAAGATTTGAAATCCTGACTTTTTTTTACCTATCTGCAAAGTGACATTCAAACTTGGAAGGGTTTAGCATAATTTGTACTTTTACTCTTGCGGGTGAAAATTCATGGATTTTCAGAAGATTGGCTTTTGGGTTACAAAAAGTGAATACGTAGAACTAATTCTTAGTTACTGGAATTAGAGATTTCAGTTTTACTGAAACTAACTAGAGTTTCTAACATCTTTTGAAATATAATATATTCACTTTCAAAATCATACTGTTCATTTTTTTATGTAATTCGTTTTGCAATGATCCAGAACCTGCACAGATTTTACTGACATTTGAAACAATGAATGAAATCTACTTTGTTCTTCGTGAACAACCAAACTCTCCAATAACTAAATGTGGACCGCAACCAGAGAACCCAATAAATCGTCTACTACCCACGGAGAAATTAAAACTGTCACAACCAACTTACTGTTTAACAAGTGTTGCACGTTTGGTGAGAGTGTGTAAAGGTGATCCAGGTGGTTTGCCACATATCAGTGCAAATCGTTTTGCCACATTTGCAAAGGCTGATTTGATATGCCCTGCTACAAATAAAAATGGTGGATATTTTAGTTATACGCATATATCAGCTGCCTACTGGGATAATAATACGAAATTACTGTACGCTACATTCACCACAGAAAAGTAAGACATACATTTCACATGTAATTGTTGATTAACTGGTTATCACTACTGATTACAAACCATTTGAATATCTAACTGAAGTCTGCTTTTTATCAGTACAGAATGTCTCATATTTACGCGGTTATGCCAAAGACAGTTGCTCTCTATCAGTTAAGCATTATCTCTTTTCTGTTTTTCTGTCGGATGGTTACCTAAATTCCCGGATAGTTATGTCCCATTTCCAAACTGATGTTTTCTTGTATCACATATAATAAGTATAAAAGTAGGACACCGTATGAGAATATAGCTGAAAATATGATTAGTTATGATGGAAAATATTTGTAGCTTAGGTGGATGGTCTTGGCTGCATTGTGTTCTCTGAGCTGGGTTATTTAATCGTGAAGCTTTCATCACCTTGCTAGATGACATCATCAGCATTAACTTCAGTATGAACAGTGATAAAGAAGTATTCAATGAATGATGTTCTAGGTATAATTTATTGCCCATACAAGTTCCTGTCTTAGTTTTCTATAGTTTCACTGCTTTTCACCTGTAAATTTCATCGGTAGAAGAATTTTTCACAAACTTGGAGTAGATATGGAATCATTCCCATTGAAGGTGTCAGATGTTGGATTGATGAGCAAAGAGTATTCAATGATCAACATCTCGCTGCATTGAATTACATTAGTTCTCAAAACGGTCACTATGTCCCAGTCTATTATTCTCTTGTGTGTTATCACATGCATAGCTATGGCTGATTTCTTCTCTAAATTATTCATCTTGTTAGGATGTATTGATCTATATTTATCTGGGTTTCTATATTTGGATGAAGTGATTGTCTCAGATCGACTAGTTTGACCTATGAACCGGGACTTCCAATCATTATAAGGTAATCGGTAAATTGAATTACTTAGCCTCATATTCTCAACGGAATCTTCATGCAGAAAAAGGCTTTTTTTCACTAAAATTGTGATTTGAATTCCACCCTAATCCCTGCACTACTAAGAGTTCTGTTTTGGGTTTTTGATGTCCATTTTTTACGTAACAACGTCATAGATCCTTTGAATTTTCTCTTAGTTGTATTGCAGTTCTTACGAACTCTGCTAATTCTCGTTTTTTTCTATATTTTTATGAACTTCCAAGTAAATCAGGAAGGTAAATCAAAGCTTCTTCAATATGTTTCATTTAATTTGAATTTTTTCAATCTCTTGTTAGACTTCTAGCCTGATTATTCAAAGATTTCAGTGATGAGGTGATCTAAATTCTTCATATCTGTTTGTATGCAAAGGTTTTATGTAGATATGTATTTCCATGACATTGTCTCATCTTTTGTTTTATTGCACAATCTACGTTCGGCTGCATCAAGAAGACTGTCTATGGTTCAACATGAGCATCAGACCATGTCGACAGTTATGAATAAAATGGGATTACTTATAGGACATTCGCCGATTAGTTCCCCAACGTTGACGGAATAATGAAGTTGATGCAGCCTTACAGTTCATTGTGTTCACTAAATCACTGAATTCTGAAGATATATCACTTTGAACCAAAATTCTTAGGAGATTTGCGTCAACCAAATCTTGATAATAGATTTTCAGGCAACTGAGGAAAGTTTCGTAATTAGAATTTCATATGGTATATCATTGTTATACAAATATATCTGGGAATCCCACTGTAGTGTCCAGCATCAAGTCAGATCACGGATGATGATCTTAGACGTTAGTAATTTGATGTGAAATAAAGAAAGTTATTCTGTAAGATGCCTTTATATGAGACCTGTTTTGCGTTAGTAAAGGTTTAGGGAATGATTCCTTAGACTGTAAACGCTATATGAAAAGCTGTAGTAATTGTAGAGCTAACACATACCATTATGCTCTGACCAGCAGGGGAACGGGTAGATTTATTAGAACGGAACCAACCAGAGGCGTTTTTGGCTGTCCCTGTTGCATTCTGTAATGACTCTGGACAGCTCTACTGATCAAAGTTGACCTTGTGTCGGAGAAAGATCTTTCAATTGTATGGTGTATCAGTTTGTTGGTAGGTGATCTGCCTGTCGTGATAATAACGGGTAACGTAGAATTGGACCTCTATTCCGGAGATATAGCCTGAGAAATGGCCACTACATCTAAGGATGGCAGCAGACAATCAAAGAAAAAAAGAAGAGTGTTAAAGTACTTCGGTTGGTTAGATATTCATTAGAAGGTGGTAATAAATCACAAAAACCAGCCACAGTATTAGGACTTACAAAACTTTCTATCAAGCAGAGTCATCATCTAATCTAATTTAATTGTATGTACAAAAAATACTTAATGACTTTTTCAATCATTAATTTCTTCATGAAACCAATTAAAAGTATAGTATATTCAATTTTAGATCTGCACCAACTGGAAGTGCCTTATGTGTTTATGGTTTAAATGAATTTAAAGCTTCCTTCAGTGGACCATTATTACGTACTAATGCAATACAAAATAATATGAGATCGTCGCCTGTACCGAATTCATTTTCAAATATTGTAAGTTCACACATTTCTCTAAGAACTTTTCAATTCAGTTGACTAGTCAATCTGTTCTTTTTCCTATAAGTAGGTTATAGTAAAAACTGTTTCATAGAAACTTATATAACCAAAACCCATATGTATAACACATATCTCGACAGAGGAAACAGAGAATTCCTAGAAGCTCGCCATCCACGTCAGTCAGTCAGTCAGCAATCAACAGATGTATACACATAGACCAAATCTATCAACCAATAAGAAAGATGATAAACAACAGAAAGGTCAGACAGAGATCAGGTCAAGTAGAGGAACAACCAACAGGAAAGTCTATACAGTCTGTCAATGACACAACAATCGGAGTGAACAACCAATCACAGAGCACATGGTCACAGCAAGCCAGTAAATCACAGATGGAGAGATATTGACAGGTCACTACTTCATACTGAATTTAGTGCTGATGATGTTGTGTAGGAGGAAGACGATGAAATCCTTATGATGAAACAACCGATCTCAGAGAACACAATACAACCAAGAAACTTACATAGATTTCCGTCACTTTGAGTTTAAATCCTGTATTGAAATAATGGACTTGCTAGACAGCCTCCTCTATTAAACTATACCAAAACACCTCCTAACTGATAACAACTGAGAGTATAAGTTGCTAAATGAGATAATAAACATCGAATGCTATTCAATATTTGTCTATTTCTGTGAACCTATTCCAAACTTATGATATTACTAATCAGTGCTTGTTATGTCAAGTAGTGGACATCGATGTACACTCAGAAAAGAAGGTCAGACTGTAAAACTGTAACCTTTAAATTTTTCAGTTTTCTGCTATTTTCATTAGAATATGCAATTAATCCTGGATGATTATTTCCCATATGTATGCACTTCGTATAGTTTTCATTGATTGGCACGTCGAATGCAAGTTACTTATAGTTGAGACATTTACTTTGTATGTCTATTTTCAAATAAGATTATCGATATAAAAAAGGGCAATTTATTTTAAGCATATCATCTAAAAATTTGTCCTCTCTCAGTCTGGGTTCATCAACTAAATGTTAACAGAATAGGAAATCAGTAGGATGTAGTCAACATGAATGCCATTTTATCGCTTTCAACCACTAGAGAAATAAATTTGAAGATCTGTAGAAAAAAATCCCAGTTAATAAGCATAAAAATTCAAGTTTCATCGGTTAAGCCCTAGCTTCTTCAGCAGTAATACTGGAATGTCTCAAGTATTTTTGAGGGCGTCTTTTGATAAGGTTGTGTTTGGCACAGCTGAAGAGTCTTAAACAGGATGGAACGCGCGTTCTGAACTCCCCTGCTAGTTACCAAGACCAATTTGACAAGGATAAATTTAAAATATAAATTTATTTTATCCTTATAAGCAGGAAGAAATGGTGTTACATAATCGTAAAACGATAGAAGCTTGAATTCTTTCAGTACATTCATATTATCCACATAGGGAAGATCTGTTCAAGGTAACTAACCGTCTTAAGGACAATTTATATCAGATTCATTCGGGTTATTTGCGTTTAAAATATCAAAATGGCTTTTATTCTTCCATGCTTTTCCATCATTGTCTTTCTAGTTCAAACAGGGAATCATCCATTTTGCTAAGTAGAATTCCTCAAGGATTGAAAACGAAATGGAAGTTTAGACACTATTATCTATAGGAAACTTCACACTCGAATTGTTACTTAGACTTTAAATTGTCTCACCCTATGTCAGTAAAGTTGGCCTGGTAAAATGTTTTATTAACAGACAAGAATTCAGATACATTAAAGACGCCTTAGTTACCAATAGTTACCCTCCTAAATGAATTAATACACTTCCTAGTAATCGTAAGGTAAATATGAATGATATTAATAACCCAGGTGTTGATAGTAATCATAATAATGAAGACAATACTGTGAACTGAAAATTCAAAACCTCCACAGTATTACTACACACAGAAGGCACCTCAGAGACATTACGTAGAGTTCTGAATGAGAATAGGATTAGAGTGGCGTTTAAAACTGCAAACTCACTTATTGATCTGATCAGATGGAACAGTTTACTAAATCTTTTGCGGTCACTATGATGTCAGATACATAAGTCAAGGTAGTCGGTCAGAGTCAATTAGTATAACAGAGCAGAAAACTAGTAGTTTTTAATGAGATAAGGAATTTAGAAGACAAGGATTAAGTGGTCTTTTTGAAAATTCCTACTATAAATCAAGTTACAGTTTGGTGCACGAAAGAAAATGCATTCTTGTAGTTAATTTCTTCCTCATATTCCTTAGTTGGGTATCCATATTTGTTAATACAGCATACGCTGCGCCGATGAAAAGACCCTAGAAGATTTGGATTTCGCCATCGCCGATAATCATTTATGTCTAATATCTTGTCACACAAACTCGAAGATATACAGGCGAAAACTAACAAGTTGACAGAAGGGGTGAGGCAGGGCAGAGAAGGGAGACGGGACTTCAAGTGAATCATGGAGAAGACAGAGGTGATGAAGATATCCGACCAGCAAGATCAACAACAGCAACAGCAACAACAAGGGGCATCAATCACCATTAATGGGAGAAATCTAAATGAGGTTTTCTCTTCCACCTATCAAGGTGAGGCAGTATCGTTTCAACTACAGGCGGCACAGGTACAGATGACGATGAGGATGTCAAAGCAGCCAGGATTGGAAAGACAGCAAGACAGGCCTGTATTCAGTAATCTGAAATCAGTGTGGCGATCTGCTACACTCATCACAAACAACGAGATCCCGATTTTCAACAATTCACAATGTCGGTGAAGCCAATGCTTCCATGTGATAGTTGAGAAACTTGACGTGTCAAGAAAAGCATTTCCAAAAAACTACAGACATTGATCAACAGCTGCTGTCTCCATTCACTCGATACTGAAGAGGTAGATCAGATGGATTGCCAGAATATTAAGAATAAGCAACAAGGAACTCACTCTGGCTGGCTGACTGGCTGACTAACTGACTGGCTGGCTGGCTGGCTGGCTGGCTGGCTGGCTGGCTGGCTGGCTGGCTGGCTGGCTGGCTGGCTGGCTGGCTGGCTGGCTGGCTGGCTGGCTGGCTGGCTGGCTGGCTGGCTGGCTGGCTGGCTGGCTGGCTGGCTGGCTGGCTGGCTGTCAACGAACGAATTAATTATAAAGTATCGCCAAACAACAACACACGAGAAGGCAGTGGAGATGGATTGGATTGGATTTGACTTTATTGGGCATACAGTGAGAAGGTCAACTGGGGACATTACGCGTCAGGCACTGGAGTGGAATGCAAATGGGAGACGACGAGTTGGGTGTCTGAGGTGAGGGTGACATAGAGGAGAGTGTGTGATGAAGAGACGAGAGGTTGTGAGGAGTTGTGGATCCAGGTTGAAGAGACTGCAGAGAACAGAGTGGAATGGAGGTGTGCTTCTGAAGCCGTATGTTCGACTAGGAACCCAAGGGAAAAATAATAATGATAATTTGTGAATACAAAGGTTGTATCATAACAGTAAGTTTGCTAATATTCAGTAATGATCTCTCTTCAGAAAAGGTTTACGTGGATTACAACTTGTGATCAGGATAAATTATTACGGAGTTTTCTACCTACAGTAAATTATTTTATAAGAAGGAAATAATCACCAAGGATGGAATGACTTTTCATGACGTGCCATACACCTGTTGAAGCACCTTTGCAACTGTTTCCAGGTATTTCTCTCTAGGGTGTCTTTAACGATTCCTTTGAAGCCTTTGAGTGATCAAACTTGAAACAAACTTACCACTTCAACCCAGCCATTAAAAACAAGCAGTCAAATACTATTCTGAAAATAAATCTAGTTTTTTTTATGGAACAGTGTTAAACTTTTATGGGCAATCCAAACATAATTTATTCTTCTGGAGTTGGTATTTATCACGGACTGACATCAGCTGAAAAAAAACATCAGAAACCTGGGAGAACTGGACACCTGTTTCGTCCTAGTAGGGAACTAATCAACAGTGCGCACACATGACGCCACCTTGGATCGAGACCCATGACTTTCAGATCCTGTGGCCAGGACGTTACCAATGAGCCACTGGGTCAGCGTCCAATGGTCCACTTCCATCTATTCACGATATTGTATGACCTCCATCCGATACCGTTGTTGACTAACTGTCCCCATGCCCGAATTGGTTAGTTGTAACTGTTTGTTTTGTTTTCTCTAATACAAAATCTTCAGTGTTCAAGATTCAATTCGAAAAATAAAACTGACGAAGAAGTGACAGTTGGCCGTCGTTTATCTCTACGTTTTCCATTTCGTTATTTACCTGTTAAACCATTACATGGCCATGCATTGCTCGCTCAGACAGGTGATATTTGGTTGCATTTACAAGCGTACAACTTACCTGGGCTTACAAGTCACTACCAACAGCCAGAACAAGTCACAACCAGTATTATATGGATAGGTACAAAGAAACGCATAATACAATTCGCTTTGTACACACATAATGACGTAAAAACATCATCTATGGGGAAAACATACTCAACAAACGATCAAGATAAGCCTACAACAACAATTATTTGCAAACTAAAAGAAATCTATCTTGGACGCCAAATTGAATCATTTATATACAGAATACCTTCAGAAGAAATTAATTCGAATCGAAATGAGAATGATGCAAAACGAATAAGAGGCATGAATTTACGTCCAGTTCATTCTTCTGAAGAGACTTTCAAAGATAGTGAGGGAATCTTTGAACGGGAAGACAAAGAAATTCAACATATAGAAATAACAGTAAGTTTTCTTTCAGGTTCTTGTCTTTTTGTTAAATCAAAGTGTTGTTTTACATCCTAGCCCTGATGACCAAGTTACTAGTTAACCATTTTTCTCTACTCTTTGAGTTTTGATATTTTACCAGTGACATCATAGGAAGAAATGATATTGAAAGTAAGTTGATAGCTTCATCTTTTTCGATGTAGCTACAGTGTTAATCAGATATTGTTAAATTTTAACGTTCCTGATCAAGGTCGATCATGGAATATAAAGTGTATAGAAGTGATACTCTTGTTCAGAACACACCTACAGTCAGAAACACTTGGTAAAACTATACACGACGGCTACTAATCCGAAGCATTTAATTCCAAGTTTACAGTTTATGTCAGCTATAAAGTTGGACAAGATTAAATCGAAAAGTGTTGAAATAAGTCAGTCGAACAAAAGTAGTTTCCTTTACAAGAATTCTGATTGTATTCTTTTCAATGATATTCATTGTACGAGTATTCAAAACCTTTTATCTAATGCATTTTTATACATCTTTCCTCACTCGGTTTGTTATTAATTAGATAATTAAGCTATTGCTTAAGATTTTGTTGTTGCATTCCTTGCTTTATTGAAATATTCCCCAAAATAGTGTGATATATACTAACCTTTTTGACTGTTAGATATGAAAAGTGCTATTCTAAAGCATTTCACAAACTATAGCAATTCAGAGTACTTTTATATGCAAGATTAAGCTTGACGGTTTTATCATTCTATTCTTTAAATAACTAACGTTTCACTTACACAGTTTCATTCAATATGACTTTCGTGCTGCATCTCAGTAAGAAATAGTGAAGGATTTATTCCCTCACAACTTGAAGGAAGTAGCATCCTTCACCTATCCAGGCAACACTGTCTCAACTACAGGTGGTGGTGGCACAGACGAGGATGTCAAAGTAGACAGGATCGGAAAGACAGCAAGACAGGCGTTCACTAAACTGAAACCAGTGTGGAGATCTATTGCAGTGCACTCAGCATAAGGCGTGAACGGGATCCGGATTTTCAACACCAACGCCAGTCAAGTCAGTGCATTGAAGTGGTATTTGGGAGACTTGGTGTGTTACGAAAGGGATTTCCAACAAACTACAGATATTCATGAACAACTGCCTCCTACGCTTTCTCGTTACTGAAGATCAGATGGTCAGAATAATAAGAATATACAACAAGGAACTATGGCTGGTGGCGAACCAACCAAGAAGCTATCGATGAACAAATATGCAGTGGAAGTAAGTGTAGATGGATGGGATTGGACATACAGTGAGAAGGCCAACTGGCGACATCACGCTTCAGGTCAAGGTGTCAAGTGGAACCCAGAAGGGAAGCGACGAGTTGGGTGTCCGAGGTGAGGGTGACATGGAGGAGATTGTGTGAGGAGGAAATGAGAGGTTGTGGGTTGTGGTGGATCCAGGTTGAAAAGAATGCAGAGAATGGAGTTGGTTGGAGACGTGCTAGTTAAGCCGTATTTTCCATTAGGAACCCAAGGGACAAATAATATTTTGAAAAATTTGAGGTTTCATATACCCCTTACTGATGAGTTTCAATAAACCTGAGACCTAGATTCCGGCACATTTTAAAACCTACTTCAACTAATTAGCACCGATCTGAGGTGCATACAACAGCATACTATAGTAGACTGGTAATATCAAGTAAAAACCTATTGAATCTCTCAGATTTTTTCTGTATATTCGCTACTTGTATCAGAGCCATTGTTGACAACCAGTTACTCTGATTCCTCTGTATTCCTCAAAGTAAAACCTGATAATATCTCATCACAACCCTTGATGTTTATATGTTGATGTCCTGGTGCTTTTGTTTTTCTATAAAGCTGTTATAAATTAATGAATATCACTAGAGTCAGAAAATTATTTTACCAGGTAACTAGGGCCGGGTAAATCTAAGTTGTTTGGTTAGAATGAACTAAAACTGTCTATACCTTTTTCATTTAAAACCCCTTGTCAATCAGAAATTTAATGATTGATATTTCTTTGCAATACCTTTGTCATGATATAGTTTAATTATCATAAGATTTTGCAATGACATGTGTACTAATGAAAAACCTTGAACTTAAAATCACTGGTTAGCTAGGGATTAGTGAGCTTCCAGCAGTCATTGTATAAGCGTCAGCTTATAAATTCTCTGAGCCTAAATCTCAAAATATTAACACTTAAATGGTTATAGCTAGCAATGGATTCCAGAAAGAGCATTTCGTCGTATTTAGGGCTCATCAGCTTGATGCACCTGCAACCTAGTGAATGCTGCTTCCCATTGAAACTTGAACTTCATAATAGACACATTAAAACGAAGAATATAAAAGACAATAATAATATGATGAAATTAATTTCTCCCTTCATTTACAGAGTATGCTAGCAAGGTACCGTTTTTATTGTTTCTCACTGAGTTTATGATTGTAAACAAAGCGATAAAAGGTGAAAATATTTCCACTTAAACATACTTCCTTTCCTAACTTCTGTTATTTCATTTTATATTTATAATATAAACAGAATATTGTAGTAATGTGTTTGAATTCACTAAATTGAACAATTGTATTGAGACTGGACACTGCCGGCAATAAACAACTCTCTGTTGGTAGGATTTAAGAGTCAAACAGCGTGTATATATAAATCAGGATGAAATATCTTTTTCCTTCTTACAATCTTCACACCTTTTATTCTTTTAACATGTTAAAACAGTTAAACACTAGATAAGTTAGAACAGAATGCAATTTCGTATCAAAATTTAAAAATGTAATCATTTTTGATTCTTCGATAAAAACTAGGAATGTTTAGTTATTTAAGATTTTTTAGAAACTCCTAAGTAGTTTTTAATCTTTCTAGGGAACAGTCAGTATGATAAAAATCGTTAGATAACAAAATCTGTCTCAGCCAACACTTTCGGTTGAGAAAATTGCCGTTTCTCAGTGAATTTATATTAAACCGTACTGCCTCAAGTTCTTGCTGATACACAGTTCATAGCTAAGTGCAAAATAAACTGTACAGGATGGAATAGTTAGTTCTAAGCCGTATTATCCTGGAAAGACTAAAACGTTTGCTGGATTCAAAATTACGACCACAGCAGGCTGGCTGGCTGTCAACGAACGAATTAATAATAAAGTATCGCCAAACAACAACACACGAGAAGGCAGTGGTGATGGATTGGATTGGAGTGGATTTGACTTTATTGGGCACACAGTGAGAAGGTCGACTGGGGACATTACGCGTCAGGCACTGGAGTGGAATGCAAATGGGAGACGACGAGTTGGGTGTCTGAGGTGAGGGTGACATAGAGGAGAGTGTGTGATGAAGAGACGAGAGGTTGTGAGGAGTTGTGGATCCAGGTTGAAGAGACTGCAGAGAACAGAGTGGAATGGAGGTGTGCTTCTGAAGCCCTCTGTTCCACTAGGAACCCAAAGGACAAATAATAGCAATAATAATGGGGGAATTATTTATTTTCTAATGTTGCTGTGCAAAGCCAATAATCTTCAGCACTTTTATGTTATAAATACTTCCCCGCCTTTCAGCATTCGAAAACGTTTATGATTAGTTTCTCTGCTTTATCATGGACAAGGCTATTATCCTACTAATTATTCATTAAACAATGACGTATGTATGTAAAGTCTGTTGGCTGGCATAAGTCAATTGACAGGTAGCGTTGCTTGTTGACACTCGTCAACAGGGAGTATCTAAAACCTCTAAGGAGCTCATATGTTGCCTGAGATTCCAATCCGCGTCACTAAGTATTGTAGATATCGACGTTACCAATGAGCTATTCACATCTCAATTAACAATCGAGTTTTTTTGCAAATTTCATTTCTTCTGCGAAAAACCACTGGCAGTGAACTGGGGTAAATTCACTTCAAACAGTTGAACTTTAAAAACTATCCACCTAAACCATTCTCTTCTGTTTTCAGAAGCCAGTGAGTTATTGAGACTACTGGCACTGTTCGGTAGAATATTACAAGGTAGGAAACCTGACGATATCACCTCTTTTATTTTTCGGTTCTTGACCTCTAAATTTTCGGGGATTATTTTAGTAGTATTATTATCGCTCAATCTGTCAACAACTTTGGTGTACTTAGTCGTCGAGTATTCTCTGAATCTGCGTAAAGAAAACTTCTAGCATGAAAATTGTGACAATTAAGTAATTCATGAAAAATAAGGTGGAGGAAAAGGGAAAAGGCAAAAAAAAACCGATGGTGGTAAAAAATATAATTACACAGAGACTGATACTGCTACATAGGAAGGGTACATCAGGGATAATTCAAAGCATGCTCATGACAGTAGAAGTTTGGATTACACTGAAACCAGTGAATCTCACTTGAAAACGCTCAAGCTAACTAAAAGATCTGATAAAAAAATTGAACAAGAATAACCCAGTTTATAAAAACATCTTGTGTTGACTTTCCATTAACTATGTAAATCGAACATCGACACCACTCAAAATCAGACCGAATAACGCAGAAGATTAACTGAAGGTCAGTTCACAGAAGTATAAGAATATCAATCTATGAAAAAGCGTTCATAAAAGGAGGCTAAAGTGCGGAATGAGGAACACTTTACTAATTCGGACACTGTTTGCATTTTAACGTTCAGTGTGAAGAAGTGTAAACAAAGATTGATGACTGATTCTATGTTCATAGGTATCATTCCTTACACGTGCAACAATGGTAAACTAGTACAACTTTGAAATAGTGGAGAATATTTGTAGCTCATGTGGATGGTCTTGGTTGTATTGTGTTCTCTGAGCTGAGTTGTTTAATCGTTAAGCTTTCATCTTCCTTCTAGATGACATCATCAGCACCAACTTCATAATGAAGTTAGTCTAGAAGGACGAGAACACAATACTACCTAGTACAACTTCAAGAACAAGATATTCAGCGAAGAAACACCTTTTAACCAATTTATTCTCAAGCTGTGCAGTCATATATATATGATATTTGAAAAAATTATATCCGTGAGGAAAACTGAACACTTTATGAT